AACGCCTGCGGCTCGGTGCGCGGGCATGCTGCTCGTAGTGCGCGCACAAGGTGCCTGCAGCGCGCGCAGGGGAGAGGGGTCTTATAGGCCTCCGGGGCCTCCACGCCGCGGGAGCACCACGACGCCGGACACCTGGGCGGACTCCTCGCCACCGGCAGGATGCCCGCGGGAGGCCGGCGGAAGCACGACGAGGGCGGCTGTGCGGGCGAAGTCGGCCACGCGCCTGGGTGGTCCCGTATCCCAAAAAAAAATCGGCATCGGTGTTCTGCTTCTGGCGCCGCGCACTGACGAAACGGCACATCGTCGGAGGCTCGTCCGATCCGTCGGGTCTCGGAGGCCCCCAGAAGCTGTGGTGACCACACCATGCGGTGAGTCCGTGGGGGTTGGCCTCACAGTCTTGCGACTCGGGTCGCTCTCCGAGGATGGCTCGGGCGCCTTGGGCCTCGAGCGGTCCAAATCCGTGCGATGGCGGACCGCTCGGTGAGGTCTTCTTGCCGAGCGGTTTCTAGAGCCGACGGGTCGCTTGTGAGGCGCACCGTGTGCAAGGAAGGCGGCACGCCTTCAGACTGGTCCGCCGCAGGCGCCGGGCGCCCTGGACAAGAGTGGGGAGCTGCCGCATGTGACGCGTCGTGACGCTTTTCTGTAATATCAGCACTGGCCAGCAGATCCTCACCGACCAGCATGCGCAGTCGTAGTGAACGGAAGTCCTTTTTTGGAAACCCTGATTGGAAAAAGCGACGCTTTTGGAATACGAGGGCCAGGTTTACCACATTACGCGACTGGATGAAGACAGGGAGAACCTAACTTAGTACACGCAAGCGCCAGTGTATTACACGCAATCACCCCGATATTAATTTGGTCGCCGCTTTCCTTCTGAACGAAAATCTTCGAACTACCATAACTCACATGCAGCGACCATGTTGCGTTGAATATGGTATTCTGCCTCCGCGTAGGCCGGCACTCCTAGAGTTTGGGCCAGTCGTAGGCGCCGGGGCTGCCCTGGAGAATTGGGCAACTGCCTTGCACGAAGCATCACCACATCATGCGCGTGTTGTGCCACCATGCTGAGCTTTTTTGTTCTGCCTGAACGTCCCCCGGGAATGCAGGGCCACAGTCGGTCTGTCCCCACACAGTGTCCCAGACATGCGATGCCCTGATTTATTCAGTACGGAAGTCCCGACCCTTTCACCGAGACCGGCTTTTTATCCCGAGTCGTTTTTGTTACGGTCCCAGGGCCCACTAAGGGCCCCCCCGGGGCCCATCAGACAAGGATCAGCCGACTCAAGAGCGTTCCGAACGCTTTCATACATCCTCCAGGGCCACCCGATCTCAGAGATTCTCGCTTCATCCTCACCCGATTTCAGCATCTTTCTGGCTTCGTCTACACCGATGAGAAAGCTTAACAACAGCATCAACTTTCATGGGCTTCAGATCTTGCTTGTGAACATCAGAGAGCTGGACTGGACCCTTGGCGCTTTCTTGTGGCTTCTGTTTATGTTGCAATGGTACGTCTTTCAGCACCTGGCCAACTGTTTAAGACAAATCCTGGAGTGAAGGCAATGCTCCTATCTCAAGGTTTCCTTAACTCGGCGGCGGGCCTAGGGGGGAACTGAGAAGGGGCGGGCCTTCCCAGAAGGCTCAAAAGTCCCCTGGCCGTCTGAGAAGCACACATAATTTCTGAGAAGGCGCAAGGGTTTCTCAGGAGGTGCGAGGGTTTCCGAGAAGTCCCGCCGCCTTCCGAGAAGGCCTTCTTCTCGCTTCTCCCCTCGCTCGCCGCCGAGTTTCGGGTGATAGCTCGGGTCTCCGGCGGCCGTTCGGGACGATGGGCACTAGCCGAACGCCCTCGGCGAGGCGCAGCTGTCGGAACGCGCCCCCAGGCTCGAAGGCCGATTAGAACGGACGGAATCGTTCGAACATCTCGTTGAGCATCTCGAACCTGGAACCTCGGAAACCTCCCGTCGTGATTCTGGGCTTAGAGCCCCCGAGAGGTCCGTCTTCCCAGACCTCGCCTTCCCCGACCTCGGGCGCCGTGTTTTCGTTCGCAGCTTGATGGGCTCCTTGCGTCCTCGGTCCGATCGATGATCCGACTCGATATCATCGATCTCGCCAGCCCGATCTGACTCGATGCCGATGCTCAGTCGATTCGATGCGGCCCGATGTGCACCATGCTTGCGCGGCGCCGCTGTGCATCCTGGCGCGGCCGAGTTGATCCGACGCCGACTCCGTGCGGCTGCGGCCCGATTCGGCGCATGCTCCGATCCGATGCGACTTCTCGATTCGATGTTGGCAGCTCCTTCCCCCAGAGGTCTTGGCCCCCTCCCCCAGGGAGCACGGCTTCTGACCCTGCGAGCCGTTTTCTGACAGCCCGAGAGTGTCACGAAACTGTCCGCCGTGATTCCTGTGAGCGACGGAGTGGGGCCTGGGCCCCGGGGTCTGCCCAGGATGTCGAGGCGCATCCGCGCGTGGCGACGAGGCTGCCCGAAACGAAGCAAGAGCTCCCATAGACCGCGATCCGCTGCTCGACGAGCCTGGGTCCGGGCCCCCATCCCGCGCAATGCGGGCCCGCCCGCGCTCCCCTGGAGGCTGGAAGTCCGCCCTCCTTCCCTGCCTCCTCCTCAACCCTCCTCCCCTCCAGCTCCCGGACCCGGACCTGTCGGCATCGGAGCCCGTTCCTCCTCCTCCCCCTCGGCATCCTCCCTCCTCCTCCTCCTCCTCCTCCCCCTCCTCCTCCTCCTCCTCCTCCTCCTCCTCCTCCTCCTCCTCCTCTCCTCCTCCTCCTCCTCCTCCTCCTCCTCCTCCCTCCTCGTCGTCTCGCTGCGATGCTGGGCAGGGGTGCGATGCCTGGCCTCAGAGCCCCCCGTGAGGTCCGCCTCGCCGCCCGTGGCGCCGCGGGGGCGCCCCGCCCCGCCCGGGCGGGGCCCCCGCGGCCCGGGCGGCGGCGCGGGCCCGCAGGCCGAGGGCGCGGCGGCCCGGAGGGAGGACCTCCAGAGGAGGGCGCGTCGGCCGCGGTGCGCGGGGGGAAGAGGGAGGAGGGAGGAGGCAGGAGGGAGGAGGAGGAGGAGGAGGAGGAGGGAGGAGGAGGTGGAGGAGGAGGAGGAGGAGGAGGGAGGAGGAGGAGGGAGGAGGAGGGAGGGAGGGAGGAGGAGAGGAGGAGGAGGAGGAGGAGGAGGGAGGAGGAGGAGGGAGGAGGAGGAGGAGGAGGAGGAGGAGGAGAGAGGAGAGGAGGAGGAGGGAGGGGAGGAGGAGGAGAGAGGAGGAGGAGGAGGAGGAGGAGGAGGAGGAGGAGGGAGGAGGAGGGAGGAGGAGGGAGGAGGAGGAGGAGGAGGAGGAGGAGGAGGAGGAGAGGAGGAGGAGGAGGAGGAGGAGGAGGGAGGAGGAGGAGGAGGAGAAAGGAGGAGGAGGGAGTAGGAGTGAGGAGGAGGCAGGAGGAGCGAGGAATGTTCTGGAACATTCTGTCAAGCACAGCGTGCAGGGGAGGAGGGACGAGGAGGAGGGATGAGTAGGCGGGGAATGAGGGAGGAGGGAGGAACTCCAGAAGAGTGAGGCCGCCCGCGGCTGCGCTGAAGGCGGCCCAGACGTTCCTTCGTCGGGGGAGTCTGTTGTGTGTGTGTGAATGTGCGTGTGTGTGTGTGAATGTGTGAGTGTCACTGTGAGTGTGCGTGCGTGCGTGCGTGCGTGCGTGCGTGCGTGCGTGCGTGCGTGTGTGTGTGTGTGTGTGTGTGTGTGTGTGTGTGCGTGTGTGGTGTCTCTGACGTTTTCGCGCATTTCCAGCAGCCGCGTCTCACCGCTGGCGTTCGGAGCTATGCCCTGGACACCAGACACCAAACGTCTGGAACAGATGCGGACGGATGTCTTAGTTTTTCTCCCGTGCCCGGGGCCCCTCGCTCCTGCCGCGCGAGCCGCCTCGCCCACACAGCATGCCGCGGCCGCCAGTCTTGGTGGTCCTTGGGGATCCCGCTTCGAGCCTCGTCTCGCGGGCCCCACCGGGGACACGTCACGGCGTCGCGCCGTGTGGGCGTTCACAGCGCCACACCGTCCACGGGATGAGACACCACGACCCCGGAGTAAGGGCATACATGGAGGCAGGCTCTGGGCAGACACACACACACATCAAACTACCAACATGAAGCGCTCATGTCAACGATTGCCTCCACCAGCATCCACTACTGCGTTGCGCCAGTATGGCATTCAAAGAACGATAGCCAGAAACCTACGTGTGCATCTGCATTGTCTATACGAGGATGTAGACGTGCATACAGGCATGCGGACGCGGACATACATATGTAAGCTTACGCCACATACAGAAAAAGGCATACACCAGCACAACACCACAACACTGAAGTAACGCACACCAGTACCATGCACCGCATACATATGTGTAGATGCACGCGTGCCTGTATATATATATATATATATATGTGTGTAGAGTCGCTTTTCGCGCTATACGCCAGTAGCAGTCGTCAAGTTCATCGAACAAGGAAGTGTACCAAACACATGCACCATTAGCGTGCACCAACGACCTGTACTTACGATACGTACACAACCGTACACAAGCAGCATGCCCCAGTGCTATTCATCCAGACCAATCACAAGTAACATGCACTAGCATTCAGCAGAAACACACCAACGCGGGCATCACGATTGTCTACACAAACGGTTGGGCAATATCGGGCATCATCCACACTAATTCCAATAAAGAAGACACAACACCTTACACGTATGATGCAGATGAACAACGATCACTTGTGGTGTACGTCCAGGCCCGACATCAATGCTATGCGGGAGCACCAAGCATGCTCACCAGTTACCAGTAACACGCATCGGCCGGGTAATTACACACATCAAGCACACGCATCACACACGTCAGCAAAATACACTAGCAAGTAATTCAATTACATTCTTTACTGCCAGAGACCAATATCACACTTCAAGATCACACACCACACCTATACACCAGTTTATTGCACCAGTAGTGCGCACGCTGAGCCCACAAACATGGCATGTGCATGGGCACACAATGCATCATCATGTGCGCGCACTGGCGCGCTTCGCCGAGGAGCAGGGAGCTGGCCGAGCGCAAGAAAAGCCTCTCCCGCCAGATCGCCAGTTCCAGGGGGCAGCTCCGGAAGCGCAGCCTCGAGGCGAACGGCCTGCAGCAGAAGCTGACGAGGGTGGAGCAGGAGGAGCTCGAGGCGATGCAGCGGAGGCTGGAGACGGCCAAGAAGCACGACGAGGCCCTCAGCAAGGTCTCCCGTCGGCAGAGGCAGCTGGAGGCGGAGCTGCGGGAGAAGGCCGCGCAGCTGGGGGAGGCTCGCGGGACTCTGGCGTACCTCGAGTACGCTCAGGATCGGGCGAAGAGAATTGCTTCACATGCACCGTTCCTGGCCGGACCCGAGCCCAGGATCGGTGCATGTATGCGTCCCCTGGGTGCCCCGATCCTGGGCTCTGGGTGGGCCTGGCCAGGACGGGCAGAAACTGTACAGTTCTCTCGTCTCTTCTCCGAGAAAATGGCAAAAACATGAACTCATGGATCTGCGCTGGAAGCCCCTGGCGCGCCCCGCCCGCCGGGGAGGGGGGTCCAGCGCGGATCCAAGAAATCCACGGGGGTCTCCAACAATTTATGTTTATGAAGTTGTTGTTCTGCCTCTTGTCCATCTTGAGCAGGCAAGAGGTCAGCGCGTTTGTCGCCGCCCCAATCCAAGAAATCCACGCGGACCTCCATCAATATTATGCTTATGCCGCTGTTTCTGCCTCCTGTGCCAAAGTTGAGCAGGCAACATGTTCGCGCGTTTGCCGTCGCCCCTCGGCCCCCCTGGGCCCCTTCCCTGGCCACCTCTCCGGATAGCCTTGCGAGGCGCTGCTCTCTCGGGTTGCCGAGCGTGGGGAGCGGCCGAGGGGTTTGGGGCTCGGCCGATGGTGGCCAGTAAAAGCTTCATGGCGGACGACGGGCGGCGACGAGGCGGCGACGGCGGCCACGCAGCCCAGCCGCATGACCGCCAGACGGCAGACGCGGAACAGACGACGGGCGGCGACGAGGCGGCGACGGAGTGGCGACGGTGGCCACAGTGCCGCCAGGCCGAAGACGCGGCCCAGCTCCAATGCACTGGAGCAAAAACCCGTAAGTTCTCGAGTCGGGGATCGGCTGCATAATACATTGACCCCACAATTGAGCTGTTCGTCGGTTAGGCGACATATACGTGGAAGGTTCCGCAGATGTACGAACATGTTCAGTACTGCTTAATAGAATCGGCGAACACGTGAATTGTGGGGTAAAGCAATTATGTAGGCGATCCCCTACGCGAGGTGCAAGCACTATGTGGCGAATCTTCCTCGATTTCTGCAGGAGATGCTTGGGCGGGGCGTGGCGCTGGTGTGAGAACCCCTAAGTCCAAGCACTGTTTGTCGCCGTCGTCCTCCTCCGCCTCGTCGTCCTCCTCCGCCTCGTCCTCCTCCTCCTCCTCCTCCTCCTCCTCCTCCTTGTTCTCCGTGTCCTCCTCCACGTCCTCCTCCTCCTCCACGTCCTCCTCCTCCTCCTCCTCCTCCTGCTCCTTCTCATCGTCCTCCTCATCTACCTCGTCCTTCACCTCCTCCTCCCTCCTCCTCGTCCTCCTCCTCCCCTCCTACACCTCCTCCTCCTCCTCCTCCTCCTTCTCCTCGTCGTTCTCCGCCTCCTCCTCCTCTCGTCCTCCTTCCTCCTCCTCCCTCTCCTCCTCCTCCCCTCCTCTCCTCCTCCTCCTCCTCCTCTCCTCCCTCTCCTCCTCGTTCTCCTCCTCTCTCCTCGTTGTCGTTCTCCCTCTCCTCCTCGTCCTCCTTATCCGCCTCCTCCTCCTCCTCCTCCTCCTCCTCCTCCTCCTCCTCCTCCTCCTCCTCCTCCCCTTGTCCTTCTCCTCCTCCTCCTCCTCCTTCTCCGCCTCCTTCTCCTCCTCTTCTGCAGGAGATGCTCGAGCGTGGCGTGGCGCTGCCTCCGGCCCACGAGGCCCCGCCGCCGCGCCCGCGGCTGTCGGGCTCCAGCGCCCCCGCGGACAGCTTCGAACAGCTGGGAGGCTCTCGGGGGCCCCCAAGGGACGTGGCGCCCACGGCGCGTGATTCAGAGGAGGAACAGGCACCCAGACCTCCACCCTTCCCTCGTGTTCCCCTTTTGGGGGCCTCCTGGGCCTCCGTCGTCGCCACCTCTGGATTCGCGTCGAAGTCCTAGTCAGAACTCACTCCAGGAGAGGTCCAGGGGTAGCGGTATCGGTACCTGTTGGTTTCCCCAGTGGGGGGGCAGCAAAATCTAGGCCCGTTGGATGGGTTCGAAGCAGATGGGGTCGCAGGATCGCGCCGCATCGCCGAAGCATCGGCGATGCAGCTCGATGCGGAGCCCGAGTTGCTTCACGCCGCCGTCGCTGGTGTGGTGGCCGCGGCGCGTGGTGACGTTCGAGGTGCGAGGGCCGAGGCTTTCGGGCCTTCTCCTGGGTTCCGAGCGCTCTCCCAGCCTCCAGCTGCTTTCCAGCAGCTGCGCCTCGCCGAGGGCGTTCCGGGGATGCCCCGATCGGAGAGTCGGGTGGCCCCTGAACGGTGCGGTGACCAAACCGCGTTGCAAGCCAGTGGGGATCCGGGCTCACTGCATAGCCTTGGGGCTCGGGTCGTTCTCCGAGGCGTCTCGGGCGACCAGGGCATCCAGGGTCCCAAGGCCGTGCGGTCACGGGACCGCGGGGTGAGGCCGTTCCCAGAACCCCCGACGTCACGATGTTTCCACAACGTCGACCCCCAGAGGTCTGGACCCCGTCCCCCGGGACCGGGTTTCCATCCCGAATCGTGTGTTGACGGTCCCGATGCCCTTCGAGGGCCCCCAGAGGCGGAAAATTAGAAACAACTCTGTCCGTCATGCTTTCGTTCATTGCCCCAGGGGGTTTGGGTTGGGGATTTCGAGGTCACTGCGCGGTCTGTCGCCACACGGCCTGGGGGCCTCCTCAAGGCTCGGGCGCAAGCCACGACGAGGCCGCGTACCTCCGCTTCCAGCTGCGGGAGACGCAGCTGCGGCTGGAGGAGCTGGAGGAGGAGCGCGCGCTGCTCGAGCAGGACGTGATGGGCCCATTTGCCACGACAGTTGCCATTGGTAGGATACGGAGGAGGAGCAGGAGGAGGAGGAGGAGGAGGAGGAGAAGGAGGAGGAGTGGTGAGACAGGCACTTGGAATTAATCAACAGGTTGGTATCCCCCGTTTGGTTCATCGTGGTTCGGTTTAGCCCCAATCTGATTCATACTTCCCCGTGTGGGTTGCCTGTTTGGGCTCATAGCTTGCAGACTCATTGTTTCGCTGTAGGCAGCGTAGGTTCCAGCGGCAGACAACGCTAAGAAGACGGATTAGGAATCGGAAGAGGGGTGTAGAAAGCTCGGAAGAGGAACAAGAACAGGATCAGGAACGGAAGGACCAGGAAGAAAAGGAACAACATCAGGAATCGGAAGGAGGGGGGTCATTGATGCAAACTGCGAAAGAAGAGCGGGGTTGGCGGTTCGAAGTGGAAGGGCGTCACAAGATGAGCGGGAGGTGGGGGGATGGCGTCGGGGAGCGAGAGACAGGGGATAATCAAGAGCATTCAGAGCGATGAGCAGGATAGGGAGGATACCAAGCTAGGCAGAGTGGGATTGCGAGGGAAGCTGAGGATTGTGGAAGGAGGGGGAAACACAACGAAGCAAGGCCGCAGCCGTCTGGCCCACCCTTTCCCATCCTTCCACTCCATCATGTAAATATATCCACCGTCCTGTTAAACAGAACAGATGGATGTGGTGTTCGACGGATCTGATCAAGATGAGGACTCATAACCAATTGTGATTGGTGGTCGACGCCCTGGAAATCGGAGACCCAGACAGCCGAAGATGATTGGCCCCTCACGTTTCTGTTTGATTGTGGCGTCTGGGTCGGGCTTGTGGCAGAATGTATTTCCAAGAGGTCATCTTAGTGACGCAGTTCCTGAAGGGGGGCAAGTTGTCGGGGCTGTTGAATACAAATATCACATAGTCAGCGGCACGGAGGCCAACAGCAACCCTCATCATGAGTGCATGCCCTTCTTGACCTACCTTTCTCGCCAACATTCGGCAACGACATCAGCAATCGGAATGACAACATATGTGGCCACCAGCTTTATTCAGTTTGAACTTCCTGTCCCTGTGATCCCTGAGGTCGCTGAGCTGATTCGAGTTTGCAAGGCGCGTGGCCTCACACGTGAAGATGCTCGCAGGCACGCTGCACGTTTTCATTTCCTCTCACGTATGCTGGAATGGTCGCGTGCGTGCAAAATTGATGCAGTGTGCGAGTTGTCTCCCGCCCTAGCTGGCATAATATTGACTGGCCAGAGCATGATGTTTCATTGCGTTCTCATATTCTCCCACCGCGCCCCCAGGGCACAACTACTGCGAGACGAACCCTCAGGCAGAGAAATCAAGAGGATCAGGAGGCACCTTCTAAATACATCGAGTGGGGTTGACTTATCGTGTCTCCATCGGCAGGGTCGTGACATGGTGCGTGCCAGATTTGATGAGTGGGACCCCGAACTGGTTATCAATTGGCTTGGGGCTTCGAGGTTTTGCAAGGATATCAGACGCATCCACCAAGCTGCGCACGCATTTAAGAACGTATACGCGCACTACGCTGGCGTCTCCATGGCCGCGTCGCCCCAGTTCCCGCCAATCAATTACGACACGCTGCGACTTTCGAGGGTTCGGCTCGACATAGTAGGCATGATGTTGAACCGAGAGATGTTCGATGACTTGCTGAGCACAGTGCCTCTTAATAAGATTAATTTCTACCTGTTCATCGATGCGAGTCCTCAGCGAAGGGGCCTGGAGCTACACGCTGCAAGTATTGACATGTGGGTCGATGGTGTGTTTCGGAGGAAGCTGTTGCCGTGCGCATCGCTCGGTAAGGAGTTCTTGGACAAACTTGGTAAAACAGTGGCGACGCTCTGGCAACTATTTCTGATGTTCGGGCCATCATTTAACGCGATGAGGTGTCTATGCAACCGGACGAGATGCATTGCGACAGACCAGGGGACCGAACGCCTCATCGCCGACATTGTAGATATACTCCCAGACTTCTACGAACTCCTACATCCTAGATTCCAGCGCCCCGAACGCCCTGAACAGACATATCTTTTCGAGCGGTGCCTACAGAGCCCAGGATGGTGCCACCTTTGGGACTTACTGTTGCGCAGGGGCTTGTCGTCACTATCATGGTTCCCATCGTGGTTGGAAAAACTTAAAGCTGTAGCGCATATGTTGAGGCTTGGTATTGCGAAAGCACATATGGTCAAGCAATTGAGGAGGCGTGGAAAACTGGCAGCTGCTTCGATTATCGCATCAATGAAACCTCCTGGCTTTGCAAACTGGCGCTGGAAAACACTTCATTCGTGCTGCGAGGAGCTGGCCTCTGGGCTTGATACCCTGGCTGCCGCATGGAATCCAGCTCTCTTCGACGGTGCCAGAATCGGTGAGTATGTGAGGAAGGCAACAGAGGGGTTGGCGTCACCTCGGTGGAAGGCTTTATTCTGGATCGTCAAATGGTTCTGCGACTGGCTTTGCACTTTGATGTCTTGGGGGCAAGGTTGCCCGTGCCGCGAGCCAGACGACGACGGTTTCGAGACGTGTCCGAGCAAAGGCAGACGACTTGTGCAAGCTTATCCTTTTGCCCAGCAGCATTTGAGGGCGGGGCTCGACGAAGCCAACAGATGGACAGCTCAGTCGCTCGGGATTTCAGCCACTGAGCTCGCGGAAGTCCAAGGGTGCGTCAGGGCATTGCACCACTTATCTGAAAGGAAGCTGAAGCACTTGAACAGAATTCCATACCTTCTTGCCCGACTAGGCGAACCAGGGGTTCGAGACCGATGCGTGGCGCAATTCAACGATGCCCCACTGATCCGACACCATAGAGTATCATGCGAATTTTTGGCTCCAGGATGCTCGCTCAGAAATCAGGTGGATGCTATTCAGCATGACGGGAGTGGGATGGCACCTGAGCTGACTGCTGAGGTGCAGAGCCTGCTGCAGATCCCCATGGACGATAGTGTGGCCGAGGGGCCGCATGCAGTCGCGGCCAGAACGGCGACCCATACGAGAGCGGCAGGGTGGCCTTGGCTGGCCAGCACGATGAGGCTGAGCCAGAACCTCGATGACGCGAACGACCTCCCCAGCGTGCTCGACGCGGACATCCGCAGATTATGGCACTCTTACAAGTCTATCATTCGTGTGCCCTTGCCTCGCCGCGCCAGGCGTCGCAACTACAAACCAGTGCGGATGCCACGGTCACGGTTCGAGAGGTGCGTATACAGCATGTCGCGCATCGCCAAGTGCGCAGACAACGACGACGGTGCTTGGCACGCAGGATGGGGCGAGTATGATGGCGGAGATGACGGGGATGACGGTGGGCCTCCAGGACCCCCTCACAAGCGTGGCAAAGCGCCTGGCGCTGGCAAACCAGGCAAACCTGACGACGACGGCGCTGGCCATGGCGGTGGAGGTGGAGGGGATGGCAGCGCTGGCAACGTTGGAGGCGCGATCGAACAGTCTGCCCTGAGCGGGAAACTTGTGCGACAGTGGCTTGCCTCCTGCTTGGAGCTCTACAGCTACCTGTCGATCCCTACTTTCTCGGCAGTTGATGGTAGAGACGTCGTGATGATCGCGCAGGTCCTGAGCTTCGAGACCCGCGACATTGCGGTGAAGACGCACGACGAGGACTCGGGCAGGATGCAAAGTAGCAGAGGAGGAATGACGAGGCGACGAGGATGATGAGGATGAGGGGGGGCAACTTACGTAGTGGTTCCCCCCAGGGTGAGAGAGAGACAATGCAAGGTGGAGGGGGAGGAGGATGGGGAAGATCGAGAAAGGTGAAAGCGAACATGAGGGAGGGGGGGGGATTGCATCTCCCCGCTGGGCACTTTGGAACGCTTTAGGCCGGCCTGGAACCAGCGTGCCATCTAGCGTTAGGTTGGCGTTGGGTGTAGCTTGCTCACCGCCTAGGTAAAATGCGAATCGTTCGGTGCCTATTTTGGGCGAGGTAGTATCATACAACGAGGGCCTCCCATGTGCGGGCGCCAGGTGCTTGCGCATTTGTTTCGAACATCCTCCCAAAGGACCAGGTCGGCATCTACGACATCACTGTGCAGCCCCTCGAGGTGTCGGCACCTCTCGGCGAGGATCTTGTCGGCGAACCTCTCGGGGACGATATTCACTGCTATGTTTTCGTGGACCCATGCACTATGGATATCGCTGCCCTTCGTGGCGGCCCAATGGATATCGCCAGAGATCAATGGAACAAATGGGAAGTAGCAGATAGTATCATGGACGGGTGTGTGAGGCTTCGGAACCCGAAACAATTGTGTCCCCTGAAACCGCTCAGTGACCCCAGCACACCTGTACTTGTTTTGCTTGACGTTTTACACGCAGATGGTTACAAGGCCGTCAGCAAACGTGTCGTACATGACGCTGAATGCCCCAAGGAGTATGACGAACGTGAACTGCTCAGCCTAACCCCCTACCTGCAATGCATCATCACTCTGATCGACCTTTACCGTGACGGAGCTATTTCGTTTCCGAGCGGGCAGCCGGAATCATACTACAGGCTCCTCTTGCGGGCGGGAACGAACCAACCTCCCAACCAAGGGGCTCAGTATTACACGAACCTGCTTGAGGGCAAGCCTGAGCTGAAGGGTTGCGATATCGCTGCAGCTCCAGCAGTGGTTCTCCCTGGGCCAGCTCCAGCCCCCAAAGACATCGTCGGCGACGACGGCGAGAGCGATGAGCCTGAACCCCCCAAGCCTCCAGGAGGGCATGCTCCAGGAGGCGGTGGCGATGATGATGTCATAGTGGGTGGCGGTGGAGGCGGCTCTGACGACGACGTCATGGGCGGGGACAGCGACAAGGGCGAGCCTCCGCCCCCGCCCCCAGCCCCTCCCGTGGCTGACCTCGCCAAGCCTGTGATCCCAGGGGTGGTGGAGTTTTTTCTAAGACAGGCGGTGACGTTCACTCCCCGATAACATAGTGGAGGGTATGTTCACTGGGAGCGCTTAGGAGTTGTTTGCAAGAATC